ACTGTCCCAACAGACAGATCAACTAGATAAAAAAATCAACCAAGAAATACCTGAACTGAATCAAACTTTTGAACAAACGGACTTAGTAGATATCTACAGAGTGCTCTACCCCACAACAGAATACACACTCTTCTGAGCAGCATGTAGGACTTTCTCCAAAATAGACCTCATACTAGCTCATGTAACATGCTTATGCAAAGGCAAAGAGGTTGAAACTATTCCATGCATATTATTAGATCACAGTGCAATAAAATTGGAAAAAAATGTCAGAAGAAACCCCAAAAACTTATATAAACACAGGGAAATTAAGTGATACTCTCTTGAACAACCAATGGGTTACAGATGAAATTAAAGAAGAAATTAGACGGTTTCTGCAACTGAATGATAACACCAATATGACATTCCAGAACTTCCGGGATGCAATGAAAGCAGTCCTACAAGGGAAGTTTACAGCAGTGAATTCCCATGTTAATAAAATGGAGCAAGCTCAACTAAATAACCTAATGTGGAACATCAAACTTTTAGAAAAAGAACAAGATAAAGCCAGAGCTTATACCATGAAGGAAATTATAAAGATCAGAGCAGAAATTAATGCAATGGAGACTAAGAAAACAGTGCAAAGATCAATAAACAAAGAGTTGGTTCTTTCAAAAATTAAATAAAATAAAAACCCTTTAGCCAACCTTATACAAAAATGAAAGAAAAGACCCTCAAATCTATGCAAAAAGAAAAGGAATGAAAGGGAAGAAACCAAAATAGATCCTGTAGAAGTCTAGAAGATCAACAGCACCTTCTTTGAAAACCTATATTCAACCAAGATGGCAAATGCAAAAGAAATGGACAGAGTCCTAGGTACATATAAATTAGCAAAGCTGAACAAAGAAGATATAAAACCCCTAAACAATCTAATATCAGTCAATAAAAATGAAGAAACAATTTTAAAAACTACTAACAAAGAAAAGCCCAGGTTCTGATGGATTCATTGCTGAATTCTATAAGAATTTTAGCGAAGATCTAATGTCACTACTCCACTACTCCTCAAACTCTTAAGTGAAACAGAAAAGGCAAATGGAAGGAAAAAAATGGAAACAAAGTTTTGTAAATAGGTAGGGGGAAAAGGATTGAAGCCGGGGAGGGAAATGGGAAAAAATTTTATTTATGTACAATTACAAATTTCCTATGATGAATGTGATCATTATATATGTAAAAATGTACCATTAACTTTAAAAATTTCTCATAGATGACACTGCCCACTTAAATATCTCACTTTTATTTGAAATATTTTATTATTTTGTCTTGCAGCACTCCTAGGAAATTAAAGTAGACTCCTTTTAGTTCTGTAAAGCACAAGGTTGGATTGCAAATTTCTCACATTTAGATATTTCTCTATAAATCAAATGATAATTTATCAATTTTTTTAAAAGATTTTTGAGACAGGTTCTTGCTGTGTAGCCCAGGCTGGTCTTGAATTCACTACATGGCCCAGGCTGGCCTTGAATAATCTTCCTGCCTCAGTTTCTGGAGTGTGGAGATTACAGGCATGTGCTACCACACCTGGCTACTTCATCAGTTTTAAATAGTAAAACCTTCAGAGGTTAAGACTGGAAAAAAAAGCAAATGTCAGAACATTAAAATTACCATTTTCCACATGAATATATAAAATAAATATGACCTAACTTATTTGCTATTTTCAACATTAAAGATAAATTTTTATTGATGGAAGAGGTTTTAAATACTTTAATATATGAAAAACTTGCTTAGTTTCATTTTATTTATTTATTTATTTATTTATTTTTTTTTGAGACAGGTTCTTACTATGTAGTTCCGGCTGGCCTCAAACTCACAGCGATCCTCTTGCCTCAGGCTCCCAAGTGCTGGGATTACAGGTATGTGCCACCTGGCCTTCAAAACTTCACCAGTTTTAAAAATCAAATTCAAATGCTTTGAAGCTTCATTCATAGCACTTTGTAAATAGTTCTCATCATTCCTCTTCCTGAAAGTAGCTTGCTTCCCTTCTTCCAATTATTGACTACATATTTTGAAATCTTCCTAAACCTCGTGAAAGTTTTAAAGACATTGAAGGCTTTCTGGTGAGTAGGGGTGGCAATATTTCACATTTCAACTGACTAGTTGCAAGAAAGTCTTTCCTTTTTTTCCTCTATGGTTTTATTAATTTTGGTTCCCTACCCTCATTTTAAACAAATAAGAACATTAGGAACTAAAACTTAAAAACAATAGAAAGCCTGATGTGGTCGCACAGGCCTATAATTCCAGCATTCTAAAAGGCTGAGGGAGGAAGGTCACAAGTTTTGACCAGATTGGGGAATTTAGTAAGATCCTCTCTCAAAATTAAAATAGGGCTGGAGATGTAGCTCGGTGTGAAGGCCCCAGGTTCAATTCCCAGTAATAAGTTGTGTGTGGTGGGGGGAGGCGGGAGGAACCACATGAAAGAAAAACTATCAAAATTAAACTCAATGGCTGTAAATTGTCTACTACAATATACTAACTAAAGTAGAAAAACAGTGGGAATGTTGTGAAAAACTGGCAGCAAAAGTAAAATTCAGCCACAAATTATATTAAGTTTATACAGAAAAAAACAGCAAAATTGTTGTAGATAAACTACTACCAGAAGGGTTGGGGATATAGCTCAGCGGCACAAGCACCTGCCTTCCAAGCACAAGGTCCTGAGTTCGATTTCTGGTACAAAAAAATTACTAAGAGAAGTGTTCTTCCTGTTGGTAGTACCTGTATTATATGCTGCATCACTGTCTGGCTACTAAGAAGATTCCTTGAGTGGAAGGTTCATCTTTGACACAACCATGTTTCAGAAATGTCGACAGGTTATGTCTGCTTTAGATCAACACTTGTACTGTGCATACTGGTGAGCTGTAGTTTCTAGGATACAACAAAACATCAGGTCTGATAGCTTCAGACAAGGACAGAAACTTCAATCCCAGCTGTGTGCCATGTTCAGTGACATCTCGATGTACAGTGCAGTAGCAGCAACTGTTAAACTTAGGTAAAACTATGGGAAAAGGGAAGACAGGTTTTTTGGTTAGGCTCAAAATGTCATAGAAGGCATTTTATATAGATGATGGCATACTATATAAATATCCACCACACATCTCCTTTTCAAAATAAAACATCTTTTGTATGCTCCATTCCTTCAGAATAAAGGATCCAGGTATAATGTTTTGAGCTTAGAAACTATTATTTCAGTTGCTCCACATGGAATGAAACGTCAGTGGCAGCAGCAGGTAATCTGGGAGGGTCAGCGAAAGTATCTTTTAAGGTATGAATTGAACACATTTTCAATTTACAATCAGTCTAGACCTCACGGTAAGCTGAGGAGCAGCTGTTGGGCATAGAGAAATAATAATGGGCAGAATGACAGGAGGCAGTTTCACATTTCTAATATGAACTTCTATGACAGCTTCCTTTTAAATGCAGCAAAGAATGGCAAAATCAATTAGTCAAGGAGAAAGGTGACACTGTGAAGCAGCGTTATCTCAGCTAATTTTCCAGAAAACTAGTTTTAACCATCAACGCATAATCAAACCTTCCAGTCTTCCAAATATCTTAGAAATATACAGTTAATCACAGCAAAATTTACAAACAACCGAATTTACCAGCCCTATTCACGTATTTGGATAAGTCCCATTTTCACCTTTCCTTGCTGTATAAATGCTTCTGTTTCAAAGGTATATCTAAATTTGTTCATGAAACATTCATGGCACAATTTCAACAACCAATACAAATATGAGCATCCTGATACGCTTAACCTCGTCAGGAAGTTGGATGATGGGTTTGTAGAAAATTAAAGAGAAATTCTCTCACTCTTAAATTCCAGGCCCCTGGCTGGTGCTGGTGCTGCTGAAGTGATCTCCCCGCCCTCAGTGGTCACTGTGACAGGGACCCACGGTTCCCGTTGCTGAACCTCTGAGTCCTGATGTCTCAGACAGAGGCCGGCAGGGTGTGTTCAGCAACATTGCTCCTCCCAGTTCCGTGATGCACCTGCGCATGCACACAGCAGTAAGGGCTGTTTCCGCGAGGCAGGCTTCAGTTTTAGGTGACGCCTTTGAACAGACACCTGAGATGCTCCAATGGAATGGTGTGTTCACACAGTACTCACCGATAAAAAGGAATAAACTCCTGACACTGCGGCCCCTTGGATGCAGCGGAACGGAATTGGGCTAAGGGAGAGATACCAATGTCAAGAGAGCTCATAATTGAGGATTCCACCAGCAAAGCATCCCGGAAATGACTGAATCACAGACAGGAATGCGGTGGCTGTCAGGGGCTAAGGCGGGAGGCAGGAGGGGAGAGAACGGTAGGAAAAGGGCAGCACAAGGCTCCTGGTGAGGACAGCGCTGCATCTTGACACCGGCAGTGGTCACATGAGCGTGCACAGGTGACTAAAATGCAAACAACCTAATGCACCTTCTTTCGCAGACCCCTATAACTCTGTTTTCAGCTATTGACACAGTTCTCTAAAGAACATTCATATTTGCTGCGGATGAATTTTCTGCTCTACATACAGGAGCCACGTCCAGCTAGTATTTTTTTCTTTTTTACTTTTTAAAATCCATGGGTTACCTTTAAAAAATAAACCACATCTCTATCTTACATCTCTACTTTACATGAACTTGAAACTCAGACACTGAAATAAAAAGCTGATAATATATAGCTACTAGCAGTTTTGTTTTTCCTTTATTTTTCCAATTAAGGTAAAAGATAAATAAAATGTTTCTAGTTTAAATTAGAATAAATCAGAGAAGAAAAAAGCAGGTTATATAGCAAACAGTTCTCCTCTGACACCTGAAATTTCTATAAGAACTAAGAACAGTTTTATTAAATTTAGGGAAATTATAACTGCAAACAAATGCATGACTTCTTCCAAAAGGCCACTTTGTGATAAGGTATATACACATAGTGTTGATGGTTTCTTTAAAGTGCTTAACGTTACTGGCTTGAGAATCACCTATTGCTTTAACAGGTCTTTTAGTACAACTCCAGCGCTGTTGTCAGGAGACACTGGCAAAGGTGTAAAGGTGGGCAGAACGTCTGAGATGGGTTTCAAAAGCAGATGCCCAGGCCCACCAGGTCCAAGTCCAGATGGGTTAATAAGAGGTACAGCTGCAGAGCGGGGAGCCAAGAATGCACTCATATCTGTTCTTCTGCCAGCCCTGGATTCCGCTGTATCTAAATGATAAAATATGGGTTATTCAGTCTCTGTCCTTCACAAAAAAGCCAAGTTGAAAAACCCTCTGACTATAATAGTATAAAAAGCTCTCACTGTATTATCATATTGATTAACATACCTAACTCTGAGTAATCAATTATCACTACTATGAACTTTAAAATTCCACATTATCGGTAAATGCACTGGTCTTTAGCACCATTTTGGGACTTTATTCAAAATGACAGCATAAGTACACCTTAATTTCTAAATATAAATACTGATTTAATTACTAAATATAAATACTGATTATGAAAGTGTGCTTAAAATTCCTTCTTGGTAATTCAAAATGCTTTCTGATAAAAACAATTCTTACATATGTTTTCTGCTTCTAGATTCAGCTGCCAAATAAACATAATGCATGTGCTACTGGGTTCTGTATCCCACAAGCAGAGGTCTATGAAATACTGATGGGTGACGTTTTAATTTACATTTTTCCAAAGGCCAGCAATGTTGAACACTTGTTCAAGTATTTATGGACCTTTCGTATTACTTCTGAGAAGTGTCTATTCATTTCAATTCCTATTTTTTGATTGGGTTTTTTATTTGGGGGAGGGTCTAAATGTTTTCAATTCTTTATATATTCTAGATATTAGTCCTCTGAGGTGTAGCTGGCAAAAATATTTCCCATTCTGAGGGCTGTTGCTTTGCTCTGTTGGTTGTTGCATTTGCTGTGCAGAAGCTTTTTAATTTGATATAATGCCATGTGTTGACTTTTGATGTTATTTCTTCGCACCTGAGTTTCTATTCAGAAAGTCCTTGCTTATGTCTGAGTTCAAATATTTTACCTATTTTATCTTCCACAGATTAAGTGTTTCTGCTTTAATATTTAGATCCTTGACCCATTTTGATTTTAGTTTAGCACATGATGAGAGATGCTGATTGATCTAGCTTCAACCTTCTGCATGTAGATACCCTAAGTACAAAGCCAATACTTGAAAAAATGTTCAACTTCATTGGCCTTTACAGAAATGCAAAGTGAAACTTCACAGATTGCATCTTACTCCAGAGAGAATGGCTATCAACAAGGAATCAAATAGTAACAAATGCTAGGGAGGCTGTGGTTAAGAATGAACCTTCCTGCATTGCTGGTCGGAGTGTAAACTAGCACAACAAGGAAAAAACATGTTTTCAGTATCTGCTATACCTCTTAGATAAAATTATGACTTTCATTAAATTTAGCAGTCAAACATGTAAATGACAACTAGATTTTACCACTTTATCTTTCTATAGAAGTTCCAAAAATAGAAACATTTGTCTAAATAACCAAGGAAGTTTTTAAGATTCCAGAATATAAGTACTGAACTAAATTTAAATATACAAGTGATATAAACAAAAGAATATATACTACATATATCTTTTGGTAGCCTATCTTAAAATATAAAGTTTTTTTTTTTTTTTTTTTTTAAAGACCTCCCAGTAGTTAAGCTCTGGTAGCAGCCTAGATGTTCATCAACAAACAAATGAATAAAGAAAATGTGGTATAGAAACATAATCAAATTTTATTTAGTCATAAAGAAGAATTAATTCATGTCATTTACAGGAAAATGGATTTTGTTTTGTTTTGTTTTGTTTTATAAGTCAGGGTTTTGCTGTGTAGCACAGCCTAATCTGGAACTCACACCAATCCTCCTGCCTCAGCCTCCTGAGTTCTAGGATTACAGGTGTGAGCCACCACTCCTGGCTGGATGTATTTTGAGACTCTAATATTAACTGAAATAAGTCTGACATAGAAAATTAAATATTTATGGTTTCTCTTACATAAGAAACCCACAATATAAATCAGTGAAATAAAGGCAAATGTTTTGGAGAAATTAAGGGATCAGCAAAGGGTAAGGGAAGGACCAAAAATTTATATATGTATTTCCCCAAAACCAATGTAAATATCATATATTGCAAACATATACCAATAAAAAATAAATATGTATAGTCCAACAGATAATTCAATTTCAACTCAGTAAAGTTTACTACGTGTCAGTATCAGTGATATGAACATAAATAAGACTATACAACCTAGTAGGGTAGAAAAATGTTGAGACATAGCTAGCTACAACCCTCAACCACACACTTGAAGATAGAGCTTTCAACATGTCAGAGTGCTTCATAATGTTCTTCGAGGTCTAAGTCCATTTGCTAAACTGAGCATGTATTATTTTCATGTCAAGGCTTGGCTACTGATTATGACACTTAGATTCTCCAAGGAGAAAATCTTCGCTAAACTATAAACTCAGCACCTAACTCTGATTAGTAAAGAGCACCATTAGTCAGAGAAGAAAACAAGTGACCAGGTAAATGTTTAACCAGTTCACTAACATGTCCAGAAGAATGATTTAAAGTGGCTTATGCAGAGACAGAACTACAGTATCTGATATACAAAGGGAAAATATTTTATACTATTTAAATTAATCAGCCAATTAAATATCAGATTGTTACAATATAGAAAGTAAAAATTTGATTCCTTATTGGAATTTTAGAACCAGTGTTACACATTTTTAATAATATTAATGTAGTTAATATCAATGTAAAACAAAAATCACAAAGTTAAACATTCAATTTTTAATACTGTAGGAAAAAAAATAAGCATCTAATATTACCTTTCAAGGTTTCTGATACATTTGTATTTAGTTCTCTCTGTCTTAGTGAACCTAGAGGTTTCATATCATGAACAGAAAGCTTTGGTGGTGGAACAGATGGATGAGATTCTGTTTCTAGAAATTTAACAAAAAGTTCTGAAAAAGACTAAAAACAAAATACTCTGGTTATGTTAAAGTAGATAACAAAATTATATTCACTACAACTAAGAAAATGTACCAGCTATTGTAATTAATTGTTACATATTAATCATGCCATTTGAGTCTTCCTTCCTTTTTACAAAGCTGCATTATGGACCATTCTAGCATCTTATATATAGCTACTACAAATTAACAATTTAATAATCTGTGATGACAACACTCGTTCCAAACACTTTGTGATGAAATTTAGCCAACTGAGGACTCTCATTTCTTATCATCAGAGGCACTTAAGACATCATCTTTTCACTGTAGTAACAAAGACACTGAAAACTGTATCACGTGAAAATAAGTATTAAACATAACTTTCTAAAGATCTGCAAAAGATCTCCAGTAACATTATCAGATAAAAATCACGTAGTGAACACTTTTCCTTTAAATTAAATTTTATGCCATCCAAGGAAAATAGGGTTTTATCCTGCTCTTTTTTTTTTTTTTTGAATTGAAAAACCAAAAAAGAAACCCTACATTCTCACAGTGCTGCTAATTCCATTAACATTCACCTAACTCCTACTGTACACCGGGTACTACATGTTCACGCATCCTGATGGCCTCCTCCTGCCAGACAGGGTTCAGGGCTGACGCCCTCCCTTCTGGTTCACAGCTGCATCCCCAGAGTCTGGGACACAGCCAGTGCTCAGTAGGTAGCACTGGCTCAATGATTTGGAACACACATAAATAATGTCTCTTTAAGAATGGCATAATTGCCAGGTGTGACAGCACATGCTTGTAATCCTAGCACTCAGGAGGCTGAGGCAGGAGGATCACTGTGAGTTTGAGGCCAGCCTGGGCTACATAGTGAGACCCTGTCTCAGAAAGCATCCCCTCCAAAAAAAAGAATGGCATAATTTTGTAGAAAGGCTGCCCCAGGCAGCAAGATCAAACACATATAAAGGAACAGTTACAACTCTAAAAAATAAAAGTACCATAAAAAAGTGAAAATAAAAACTATAAGCAATCAAATTAGTAAAACTGGTTGTCATCTCTAAATCTGTTTCCTCAACTCCAAAAAAATAAAATGGCTGCATAAATTACCCTAAAAGAAAAAATCTGATTCTTTGCAAATAAGTACAATACACAATCATTTCATCATTCATATTCAACAAAAATAAAATTAGCTCTTACACTATTAAGCACAGATTGCTGATTTGGTCTCAGTGGTGTGTTGGGGACACTTTTTGATCCTCCAAGCCACCCAGTCATCCACCTAGTGACACCTCCTTGATCTTCATTAAGCAACTGCAGGATTATTTTTAAAACAAAAAAATATTGTCAATATGAGAAAAGATAGCCATTTTACATGACTTCAGACATTAGCAAATCAAGCATTTAGTTCAATTTTTAATATTGCCTACTATCAACAAAGGCAATAAATACAATAAAATTCTATCCTAAGCACAATCGCAAATACAATTTTGGGTACTGTATTTCAAAGTTTCAGCATCCTGATATGAGCACTGGTTTATAAGTTGCAAAATATTTAAACTAACATCATACAAACTGAACAAATACATCTCTTCAATGCAGAATAAAATGATTTCATTTTTACATAATTGAGAAAAGTAAAAATTATTACACACAGTAAAAGGAAACAACTTTCAATGATGATACTATTTCAGTTATAAATATACTCAGAAAAATAAGTTTAATAGATGCACTCAGAATGGCTTCCTCTGTCTAGTTACCTGCTCCATTTCCTCCCTTTTAATACCCAGGATGCTTCCCATCAACCGGAACACTTCAGGACGCTGGTGTTTTGGTGTGTGGAAATGACCAATGAAGAGATTTCTCATAAGGACTCTGGAAATGAAGCAGGAAACAGCTGACACCAATTGCACAGGGAGTGTCCCCAAAGAGTAAACATAAACACTTGATTGTACTTACACAATGAAATATTTAATTATAAAAAGAATGAACAATAAAATATTTTAAAGGGGCTTATAAGAAAATCGAGACAGGGCCGGAGGATTTAGCTCAGCAGTACAGCGCCTGCCAGGCAAGTGCAAGGTCTTGAGTTCGATTCCCGGTACCGGAAAAAAAACAAAAAACAAAAAACAAAAGAAAATCGTGACAACCCCAATTAGGAACATCTAAAACAGCCCAAAATGTTACCTATGTAACTTTCTCCAACCCAATAACCTGCCGAGGAGATGCCTTATTAGTAATTCTGACCGCCTGTCAGAACTCATGTTCCCCTGGAGTAGACACTTAAATGGTGATAACTGTTCTTGTGTTTCACCACTGTATTTCCCTACTCATAGGTATTAAAATTTGCTGATGATACCTAAATTTTAAAAATATTCAATAAGAGTATTTGCATATATACCTAAGTTCAGACCCAAGACTCTTGAGCAAAATATGTTCATGTATAGACAGTAAAGGGCAAAAAATAGTAAAAATAAATTTAGTACATTATTCTGCTGACCGCTATTAAAACTATTGATATTTCTCCTCACTATATAAGAAAAAGAAAAGGCTACTTCTAAATTTAATCACATACAAACATCTATAGGTAGAAGTTGTTTAACCATAAAAACCACCCCTATAAAATATTAAAGAAAGTTAAAAGGTAAAAACCATACTTGTCTACTTTTCCTTCTGTGCTGTTTACTAAGTTCATCAATTTCTTTTGTGCATCATCCAACATTTCTTGTCGGAGCTCATCTGTTTAAAACGTGAATAAAGACAGCCATTAACTCATTAAAATAGCCTAGATGAACATATGATAATTAGACCTATGAGATTGTTACTGTGAACTGTGAAGGTATGGCCTATTCTAACTGGGAATACTTAGTTATTTTTATCTCTTCTTTGGTTCAAGGAACTAAGCTTTCTGCTATAGAAACGACCTAGAAGCCAAGGTATGCATTATTCCAAATAACTTACCACCAATAAAGCAATCAATTCCTTAACAGAGTATTTTTAAAAATCAAAAAACACTTCCACCTTCTTTCAAAACTTAATAGCAAAGAAGCAATTTTTTTTTGCCACTGCTTCCTTACATGAAATATTTCCAGAGCAATTCTTACTTAGTGGGTGGAAATGGAAAAGACAATTTTAGATTTTCCATCTTCTGTTTTCCTGACTGGACTCTCTTGGGTGAGCTACACAAGAACATCCAACACAACTAAGGTATAGCTCAAGGCACAACTGATATGACAAAGTATCGGGAGAGCACAGAAAGTAACAATTCAGATCATTAACTCTAACCCACAAATCACGTTGTGATAGCTTATGACCCAATTGGGACAATTTTTCAATTCTTATTTGAAAAGTAAGGAAAATCTGTAAAATTTTATTGTGATAGTTGGAATTCCCACAGTTTAAAGGCAAAGTCTAGAATCACAATAAGAGATACTTAGTTCATAAGCTAATCATGCCACAGAGTGAAGGATTCCCAGACTAAGGAACTCTCTTTGAACAGAGTTTATAAGTGTTATCTCAGAAGTGGGTGGTTTGGGTGAAAGAAACACTTATTTTAATGTAGATTACAAGTTCTCATTCTGAAAGAAATGAACAAGACACTACTGTATAACAGAGCTCTCCTTTTCAAATCAGGAACCACTCACATACAAACACTAGTCTGACCTTTTTCTTCAAATTTATTTATTCTACAAATCTACTCTTTCTCTAACTTTTGTATTTTCCTAGTAGTAGCTGGATATAAGTTCCTTTATCAAATACATGACTTGCAAACATTTCTCTCCCTTCTGAGGGTTGTCATTTCTTTCTTGACAGCACCCTTTGATACATAAAAACTTAATTTGATGAAATCTAGTTTTTCTTTTGTTGCTTGTGCTTTTGGAGTCATACCTAAGATATTATCACCTAACCAACTATCATGAAGATTTGCTCCTACGTCTTTTTTAAAGAGTTCTACAGCGCTGACTTTAAAATTTATAGTCATCATTCATATCAAGTTCATTTATGGTCCACTTGCATTCTTTTGCACGGGGATATCCAGTAGTTCCAGCATTACATGACAAAAAACTTCCTTTCACGTACTTTTTGAAAAACAACTCCCCATTAATGTGTGTTTCTGGACTCTCCTTTCCCATTACACAACTTGCAATGCTTTCTCTTCCACCTAGAAAGCCCTTTTCCATCAGAGTTGCCTGTTAACACCTATTCACCCTGCCTGCTGCAGTCCCCAAATCCCCTCCTCAAAGACGTTTTCTCTGAGCCTTCAGATCAGGTCTGCCTGGCTGTTTTCAGTCTGTCCTGTACAATGCTACAATTCTGATTTATAACAATGCAAATATAAAATATTTAGTTTAACTGCTTGCAATGACTTGTGGTTTTTCTAAACTAAAAAATTCCAAATTGCAAAATGTCACTCATATAATAGCCAAACTTTACCAAAATAGAGATAGTTGTCATAACCATATTATGAGCAAGGTTTGTGTTTGGAAAATCTATTATAAACTTTTCCTTTCCCATTTTTCCAGTAAGGAATTTAACCTGAACATAAAAGGTCAGGGGAGAACAGGAGACACATGTTAAGTGGGCAAGCCAACAAGACTTACTGAAGTCTGAGCAAAGGGTCTCTCTGTAATCAGGCTGGCCTTGAACTCTCTATGTAGTTTAGGCTGGCCTCGAGCTCTGGGCAAGCCTCCTGCCTCAGCCTCCCCAGTGCTGGGATTACAGGCCTGTGCCACTGCCACCACACATTCTGAATGTGAACACAACATAAACAGAACTTGACTATTCAGAGGAAAAGTAAGAAATAAGGAAGTTAATCTCCTGTCATTGTTCTGACTTAACCTCCCACTCAGAAGCTAAAGTAGGAGCCAGAGTAAGAGCACAGCTCTTCACTTCCTTTTGCTCCTCCCTAAGGACACAGAAAGGGTGCAGGGAAGCGAAGGTCAACCTCCTCCCTGTCCCACCTCCTCTTCTGAGATCCTCCTCCTCTTACCTACTCTGCTCTGTAATGATTAAATGTCAGAGTATCCATTTGGGTATACTAGGTTACATAAAACTATCTTATTAAATTTATTGCCATTTCATCTGTATCTTTTTACTGTTTTAACGTGGTCACAAAAAAACCTTAAAATTACATACAGCTTACAGTGCTTTGTACAGGACAGAGTTTTCTTAGAACATAATGGAGATGTAATACAACACTGACTCCCTCTCTCTCTCTTTTGTCTTTTTGAGATACGGTTTCACTATGCATCAGTACACAACTGACTTTTCTTTGTACTTAGAGAAACTCATTTTTAAAAACTCCAATTTCTTAAAGCATGGTTCAGTTTAGATAATAATATTACACAAACATATTTTAAAATGTGACCATTGAGGCCAGGCATGGTGGCACACACCTGTAATACCAGCACTTGGCAGGCTGAGGCAGAAAATGGCCATGAATTTGAGGCCAGGCTGGGCTACAGAGTTTGACACCAGCCTGAACGACCCTGTCTCAAAAAGCAAAAAAAAAAAAGTGACCACGAGTTGAAAAGAGTTTAATTATTTATCTAATTGATATATACTTTTTTCTTAATTCAAATTTTGGCATTGTCTATTAAAGCCAGATGTTTAAATAATCACAAATAACCTTTAATTGCTTACGGCAACTCAGAAAACTGCATCTGGCACTTGCACGTTTCCTCTAAAATCATCACTTTTGTCAAAAACAACTATAAGGACATCCATTAAAAACAATGAATTTCCTCTATATTTGTAGTTCGAAACATGTTTTTCTGCTGCACGTTACAGTAAGCTTTACTGGGACTCATTTTGTACCCTTTTCTAGATCTTCTTTAAAAACAGTCTAAGGAAATTTTCCATTCTCAACTCATATAAGACTTTTAAAAGCAATCACTGAGCTTTCCTTTAAAAAAGATAAATGGGAGAGCCCTTGAAGATACAAGTATGAACTGGCAGACAGACCAAAAGATGTTCTCAAAGCTAGAACTCTATTGCTATGGCTTATGAAAACTTATTTTTCTTTGCACACCAGAAAATTCACCACTCTTTTGAACAACTATTACCAAAACAAGAAAATCTCGTACTTTTTATTTCAATTTATCGAATCATTTTCAGTTCAGCAGGAATTTATCTCAAAAATAATGGCAGAAAAAAAAAGTATAAAAAGGAAAATAAGTATCATTTAATGTTATAGTCTGGGTTTACATAGGTTTGTAATTTCTCATCAATAATAATTCCATGGAAATTCTGAAGTCTGATCAACTTCAAAATATTTAACAAAAGACATTTTGTTTGCTCCATAGACTAGTATATAAAAAAATAAAATAAAATACATCATGCCAAGTGAAATGTCTTTGGTACTATATTGAAAAAGAACAATTTCAGGTAAAATGCTAAAAGAATAATTTCTAAAAGGAAGGGTAAGAGTAATTCTCTTACTAGCCATTATCTATTAAAATATTAAAATATTATATGATCTTACAGTTTCTTTTCATTGTTACTTGGAGGTGGGGTGGGTATAAGTTAGTGTTAAACATTTTATTCTTACAGTTTTAAATAATTTTCACACTCCCGAAGTGAAATTTCACTTGTGGTTCTCTGCAAATTCCCTCCCTCCACGGAACACCACATGGCCCTGCCCGACTGGGTCTCTATTATCAAATGAGCTGTGACCACAGTCTGTTGGGTGCCACTGTCTTAAATTACTAATTTATGGTCTACCTATGCTGTATGTCATTTCCTTAGCAAATCTCTCTGAGAAGAGGATCCTACCTAGATTTCTACACAGCATTAACAGGGAAGTTAAGCAGTTGGTTCTCATTAAGTATTTATACTGCCTGATAAGGCATCTATCTTCATATTTTTCATACAAGTCCTGTAAGGACCCTCAACTCATAAATACAGTTTGAGCTCCTGGTATTAACAATCCCATACTCTAAGAGGGACTGAATCAGACTCTACTCTTTTAATACTTGTATCACAGGCACCAGCTCGCTTTTCATGTTTGACTAGACTGAATCGTCACATCGTTGGGAACAATGATATAAACAAGATTTTGAATAAAATACCAGTTTTAAAATGAGTTTCCCAGGGGCTGAGGATTTAGCTCAGCAGTACAGCACCTGCCTGGCAAGCGCAAGGTCGTGAGTTCGGTTCCCGGTACCGGAAAAAAACAAAAAAATAAAATAAGTTTCCTTATACTGCTTAAAAGCTGAAACTGCATATCAACTAATCATTAGCCTACAGATGCTTAGAAAAAAGACAATATTTTGCCTCTATAATTCAAGTTTCCATGTACATTTCTTGCAACAAAAATCACTCTGTCTTTTTCAAAATTGTTTCTCCTGGCAAAAACTTCAGCTGTCTGGCCAAGTTTTGTTTTAAAAATAAAGTACAGTATTACAACATCAACCAACATTTAAAATATGTTATGATGTGTAAGAGAAAATATATAATGATGCTTTTTGAAATGAGAAGCCAGTCAAAGGGTTTTTTTTTATATTATCAAGAGTATAGCTTTGACAAAATAAAGTAGCACTTTTTTAGAGACGTAAAGCAGTATTAAGGACTCGGGTAATATAAGAAAATAGACTGTTAGGAAAAGTTGTAAAGAGCAAGAATAATTTAAAGATGTAACAGAACCAACTTCACAACCTTCCTGTCTGTGCAATATTGGCCCCATGCCTCCCTTTTCAGATACTAGTTCTATAGGCCTAACTAGGCTGAGCTTTTTCTGTATTAACATTGATCCCACACAATAAGCCCCAGATTCCTATACACTGATGACAAATATTAATTATCATTTTTTACATGAAAGGAACTTACACCATCTAAATATTATCAGATATAATATAGAAAACCTGAAAGTATCCTACTCCTGGGAGCTTAGATGGGACCCTGAATAAGTACTACATGCTACAAGGACTACAATAAATTAGAGAAGCTTTTATTCTTACCATCATCTACTGGGAATGACTCAGGTACATATCTAGAAGGGAGTGTGTCCTTAAGATATTACAGAACAGCTGGGCATGGCAGTACTCGCCTATAAACCCAGTACTCTGGGAGGCTGAAGCAGGAGTTACTACATAACTTAGTAACTTAGTGAGACCCTGCCATTAAAAAAAAAAAAAAGAATAAATAAGATAAAAAGGGCTGGAACTGTAGCTCAAGCTCTAGTACAAAAAAAAGAAAAGAAAAAGAAAAATTTCAGTAGAATATACAGCCCTGAGTTATCAGAGGCCAAAAAATTAATTCACAGCTCACCTTTTTACCCGCTTTATTGTAACCCAACCCTAAGATATGAAGTGTTCAGCAAACCCTTTCAGTGCTCAGTGTGTTCCTTCTGGGTTGGCCCTATCTCTTCCAAATAATGCTGTGGTTGCGCGGGCCTTCGATCTAACTAGATTGCTCTCTCATTAAATACTGTCTCTTGGTAAAGGCAGCCATTTCAACAATGAGGCACCACGCAACGGTTACTAACACACCTTCAAATGAGATGGAAATACAAGAACAAAAGACAAATCAGACGATAAATAATCATTTTCCTGACAGGAACAGAGTCATGTAGAAAGATCACGAGCTTTGCTCACAGATACAGAGATCATACTACAAGTCTCAGTTTCTTTAACCTATAAAAAAAGGAACTAGTACTACTTTGGGGTTGGTTATGAATGGTAAATAAAACTAAACAATACAATAACACCTTGTAGACTAAATAATACAATACAGTCTTCTACATCAAGAACCCATACCAGATATTTAGTTTTCCTTGCTGCTCAGTTCCAGGCCCTCCCTAGATTTAGAGTTCCTAGGTGGGCCAACTCCTCTGAAAAGACTTTCAGTTGGGCAATCACGTGCCTCAGAGTAAGTTATTTTGAGGACAACTACTTTACAGCTTATAATCATTATTATTTGTATTCCTAAAAAATTCCCATTTCCTGTCCTCTGCTGGATTTAGGTGAACTCACCTTCTCCTTAAGCATCCACACCTCAATGGCTCTTACCTACTCGCCTCCTTAGGTTTTTGGTTTGACGGTATCGCTGCTGTTTCACTTCCTCTTTGTGCCTATTTCTAATTTCTGTTTTATGTTGGGTGGAATGTGTTTCTGATTCCGTAATTATGTGCCCTGTCATTGCTGTGCCAACATGGGCACCTAAAGTTGATGAACTTCTAGGTTCCATAATCACCTTTCCAGTCACCTCGAATCATTATCCACTAAATCCAGCCCTGGAATGGCTTCAACTTCAGGTCACTTTAAATCAGATAGTAAGCGAGGATATATGCCACCACTGTCAGCTGTTAGATCCAACAAAGCCCCATGAACTTCCCGTTCATCTGAAGTCTCACTGATAATCTGAAACACAGAGCTCGCCTTAGGGAATGGATTTGGCCTATGAGATACATTACAAGTGTCAAAGAAAGGAAGACAGAAAAACATGATCAGTGCCTGTGTGTAAAGCCCCATCTACAATCATAAAAACCTACTTAGAAAAAACCAGGTAGCCAGGTTAAGTTTAGGGGAATTCATTTACCCGGATTAGATGAAAGCTTCTAAAAATAAATGCTTTCAGTAGTAGGAATAGCGATGCTTAAAAGGCTGATGGCAAGATAAGCATGTGGAGTAGTTTTATATTAATATATTTGTAAGTACTTATTTGTGGAAATGCGTACTTGAATAAAACCACATGTGGTTATAGAAACCCCTTTATACTTCAGGATATATAGATTTTGTGTGTGTGTAGCTTACTGTATTAAGGAATATTGCCTTTGTTTAAAATAAGGATTTAAATTGCATTTAAAGAGACTATTCAATATTACTTTGAGAAACTGAACTTCTTGGTACTACTCATAACTATTATCTATAAAGCAGTATTAGGAAAATTTCAATTTCTTAACATATTGACACAAAGAATATGAAAATTTAAACAAAAGTTTTTTTTTTTAAAAAACCTAGTTATATGCAGACCCTTCATTTCACAAAAAGTTATCCCTTTATACTTGAGAATGCTGCCCTCTCTAACATATCAGGCAGGATGCACATGAACCCATCAGGAAGAAGCCATTAGCATAAAAAAGCTGGATCAGTCACACGGACTTGCTTGATTGTCAACAGAGGAACAGGAACAAAACAGCATTTTCCTCCACATCCAGGAGAACTAAGTGCACAGCCAGGGGCACCTTAATCTGGTTTCACAAAAATCAGACAAAAATTGAAGCAGATCTGCATAGAAGAGGGAAGTGGAAGCCACACTCCAATGCTCTCACTCAACTGTGCCAAATGGGGCAGCAGGGCACACCTGGCTCAGCAGGAGCACTGCTGGGGAGAACAAAGGCAAAGGGGAAAACCTACTTTGCTTTTTAAGTTCTTCAATCTGTTCCTCCTTTAGATCCAACTGTTCTGTAAGTCTTGATGCTGAATCCAACGCAGCATTTGCTTCATCCAAGTGCTCCTGAGCGGGAAATATATATTAAAAAGCAGTATGCAAAAACGTCCACAAACCATACAGCTGGGAGACATATTAGAATCACCCTTTCCATCGTAGCTGAGGAAACTGCATACCTATGACCTTGGGCAAGTTCATGCAACTAAATAAATATCAAAGATATATCCCATACTCATTCACCATGTAACACTGTCTTTTTTAGAGAAATTAGAGATTTTACTAGATGAAAACATAATGACAGAAGTAAAAGAAAAAGTAACAAGAAGATAAAAAACTAAAACGATACAAAAGGTCCCCAAGAACTAGGCAACAAATGCTCTTGCTCTTTTCCAATTTTGCAAGTCAAACATACATAAAGTAACATTTCATTATGACTTTATTACATTAATTTTTACTTCTATGACTATCAAATATTTCTATCCCACATACAGGATAGTTGGACCTATTCTTATGTGAAAAGCTCTCTGCATAGACTGCCTGTGTTTTTCTAAGCTGACTCCCATGTCAATTTGTAAGTTATCTGTACTTCGTCACTGTGCTATGCAAATATTGCTCAGGAGATCTGTCATTTACCTGATTATATTACCTGTTGCCATTTAAACATTTTAAAATTATACACAAACATGCTAATTTGCTCTTTCACCTTCTTGAATTTAGTCTTGATTAGGATCTTCCTTGTCCCAACCATACATGTAGTCTTCCAGATTTCACTGCAAGAGATTTTTTCTAATAGTTCAATCTTTAATGTAGTGCTGCTCAATGGGAGTACTTCTGACAATTCCTAGCCCCTAAATGTTAGAAGAACCACACACTCACTGCAATAATAAAAAATATACCTAGATATCCAATACCACTCCCAGTTGATAATCACTGCTTTAGTACAGGTGGATATTTTGGTACATGGTGTAAGATGGAATCCAATTTTATCTTCTTCCATATGGATAATTTGCCAATATCATTTACTAGATAAACTATCCTCTTCTTCATTAAATTAAAACTGGCTTACTTTAGGATTTAGTTTTAAATTTTTAAATATATCATGGACCCTATTTATAGTTCCATTTTAATATCTGGTAGGCAAGTGTCTCCTTACTCTTACTTTTGTAACAATTTTCTCAGCTCCTCTGGAGAGTTTACCCCTGTAATTTGAGGCCAAGTTTTCAGAGTGATAGCTTTTTTGATGTGTTATCTTGGACAGACTACAGTCCTCAGCTATTCAAACAGAATGTATATATTGCTTTCAAGGTGTCTTTGCAAATGTACTCAGGATCCTTAATCACTTAGATTCCAGAAAGACACATTATCCTGGAATTCAAGGGGCCTGAGCCAGTTAACAGTTCTTCAAAGCAGGGCTGATGTTTCCTCAAAAAGACTGAAAAAAAGAAAAATTCCTTCCATGTACAGCAGCTTCAACCTGTGGCCCTGGAGTTCCATCCCGCTTATGACTGTCCTCACTGCCTGAGGACAACAGCTGTGGCACAGGCCTGTGAGTCTGAGCCCTGATTGCGAGCCTCACAAACTTCAGATTGACGTAGCCAGCCTCTGTCACCATGTGGTCAGTTCTTTATGTAGACACATGCACACACACACGCTACTGGCTCTGGTCCTGGGAGCTGAAACCTTTCTGATACACAGAGGGACTAAAACCAAAAACATTTAAATGAAAATATATTATCCCAAATCCAGAAAACAAAATTTATTGTAAAGAAAATGTAAGGAAACTTGAAATCATCTGAAACCTTTGACAGACAAGACACTCAGGAATTACTGGAAATGAAAGTGCTGAATAATTTATCTTCTCTTTAAGCACATTAATGAACGGACAAGTAAGCACACACAGTCACTAAACAAAAGATGTTGTACCTCATGAATAACCAGGGAAATGCAAATTACAACTACAAGAGACTCTCCCTGTAGTTAAATGTGTCCCACCCAAAGTGGGACTTGTGTTAGAAACTTGATCCTCAGTGTGGTACTATCTGGGGGTAGGGTCATGAGAGCACCGTCCTCATAATGGATTAGTGCCATTACTGCAGGAAGGCTTCTTCATAAAGGGACAAGTTCTGTCACATCTTGTTCTTTCTCTCTGGCCTTCTCTTTGCCTTCCTACCATAGGATGCTGCAGCAAGAAGGCCAGTATCCTGACTTTGATTCCAGGTACAAAAAAAAAAGGATGCCACATCAGACACTGCTCCCTCAATCCTGGGCTTTCCAGCACCCTGAAGTGTTAGTCAATACATTTCTTTCCATTAAAATCTCCCAGTGTGGAGAACTCTGTAACAGCTGCACAAAACACACTAAGACATGTCTCACCTATTAGATTGGCAAAAATTTAAGAAGTCCATACATAACCTGTAACTCAGCAACTGAAATATACATCTCAAAGAAATACTTGTGTGGATGAGGAAATATACACAAGGAAGTACGTAACCACACTGTTTGTACAGAAGATATCTAAAATGACCTTTATCAGTAAAATGGGCAGTAAAACGTTGGTTTATATATGGAGTGGTAGGAAGGAGATGAGATGTGGAAGGATGCATTAGAAATTTCAAAGGCTGACATTCTATTTCTTGTACTGATTAAATACATGGGCATTTGCTAAATTGCTATTTTTATATGTATACTTATTAAAAATTATTTGCAGCCACTAAATACTTAAGAACAAATTTTAAACTTTATAGCAACTAATATATATGCTTACGGGAGATAATTACATTCCTAAACAGCGTATTCTTCACTGATTCAGAGTAAATGAATTTTATTGCTCTCTTCCAGTTGTTGCCAGAGTTTATTGATGACTTAGAAAAGTTTCTCAGAAACCTAAAAGCACTGGGCATGGTGGTGTACACCTGTAATCTCAGCACTCAAGAGGCTGAGGCAGGAGGATCACTTCAAGCTGGCAGTCAGCCTGGATTACAAACTAAGTTTAAGGCCAGCCTGAACTGTATAGTGAAACTCTGTCTAAGAAAAAAAACAAAACAAAACAAAAAAACCTAAAAGCAAGCTGCTTTATTGTTATATATATGCATAGGAGTTCATTTTATTTGTACCATGTACAGAATATAGCATAATAATAAAGAGAAAAATCTTTTAAGGGATGATACTACAAAGGAAAAAGATCTAAATAGATGATATACTTTATTTGAATCTGTGTGCAGCATAGTGTCTAATATATTTTCTCAAAAGAGAAAATTATAAAGTTTAACTTTGTAGAGAAATTTGGGTTTTATAAAACACCCATGTGTATCACTTTACTGAAAGGAACAGTTAGTGATTAATTATTTGATCAATCTTGCATGTCTCTATTTGTTTTCCTGAGAAACCACTTTGAATATATCAATACGTAATACAACAACCATTGTTAATTTCCTACCACTTTGTTTGTAACTCTGTATTGCATGTATTGTTCTTATGCTGTTTTGTAAATGGATGTTTGTTTGTTGATGTTTTTCTTCTTTTATTCTTAAAATAAATTAAAAAAAAAAAAAATACCTGTGTGTATGCCAGGCATGGTGGCACACGCCTGTAATCCCAGCACTTGGGAGACTGAGGCAGGAGGATCGCTGCAAGTTTGAGACCAGCCTGTGCTACGAAGTGTGCTCAAGACTAGCCTCAACTGCACAGTAAGACCCTGTCTCAAAAAGACAAAAAAAAACTTGTGCTAAAAAATGCCACTGTTCTTTCATCTCACATACACAATGTCTACTCAAAATTTTAAGTCACCCAAGAAAATCCCTAGTACTTTTTTTTTTTTTTCATCTTTTTGAGAGATGGTTTCACTATGCAGTTCAGGCTGGTCTTGAACTCACTTTGTAGTCCAGTCTAGCCTCAAACTTGCAGCGATCTTCCTGCCTCAGCCTCCTAAGTGCTGGGATTACAGGCATGCACTACCACACCCAGCCAATTCTTAGTATCTTGTTCACTGTTCTGCAGAGCAGAGGGTTAGATACAGAGCCATTCAAAAAATATATAAAGCAATTACTGAATAATAAAATGTCTAAGAGAAAAATTTCATCTTACCTGTAAAGATAACATCTTTCCTTCTAGATTTTCTGCCTTTTTCTTCCATTCAGCTATAAGTTGTTTTTGCTTTTCTAATTCAGCAGAATACATAGCTTTTTCCTCTAAAAAGAAAGTTACATTAATATTTTGCAACTGTATGATAAAAATAGAATTTTAAACCACCGATATTTTAATAATTCAACAAAAAAGACCAAGCATCTCAAAACAGGAGATGATGCAGGGACCACGCTAAGTGCAACTGGAGTAATGAGATCACTGTTTCTTCTCCTAAACCTTTCTCCAACTTGTCTATGTGGCAGATTCTTCCTGCCCTTCACTGCTTCACTCAAATGCTTCCTGTTTAGCAATGCTTTCTCTGCAGCCTCAGTACCATACTACCTCGTACACACACGCACTCTCACAACGATTTTTTAAAGGAAACCTAGAGAATTCTTAGATTTATAATTCAAAATTTCAACCAGGTAAGTAACCCTGCAGGGACACACAGGTGCAAAACTATGAACCTGTCAGTTACTTCATCATCATCACATCCTCTATGCAATTAGTGGCTGATCAACTGTCAATACTTACTGAACATATGAATAAACAAATAGATGAGCAGATGGGTGAATGACCTGAAGGAGATAAAGCTAAAGATAGCAAGTAGAATGTGAAAAGGCATATTTGGTGCTCAGAACTACTCTGATCATTGTTTCTGTGCCCCCCAAAATGTAATATGGACTGATTCAAAAATGTAGGCCAGGCCAAGGATATAGCTCAGCAGCACAGTGCCTGCCTGGCAAGTGTGAGGTCGTGAGTTTGATTCCCAGTACCAAAAAAAAAAAAAAAAGAATGTAGGCCAGCAGGCACCATGGTGCAAGTCTATAATCCCAGCTCCTCCAGAGGCTGAGACACGAGGATCGCAAGTCTGAGGCCTGCCTAGGCAACTGTAATGAGACCCTGCCTCAAAATAAAATAAAACAGGTTGGGGATACAGCTCAGGGTAGAGTGTTCCCCTTGGGATGAAGCCCTAGAACCACCACCAAAAAAAAAAAAGGAGTTATCCCAGTACAAATGAGTAGTTAACAATTTAATGAATATTTCATTTACCAATTAACACTGAAGAAATCAGTATTTTCTATGTGAGCATCTCTTCTTTGCATTCCCCTCCTTATCACTTGACCACCCCTTTCAACATTACCTTCACAAGTGCCCAGTTTCTGACTTAGCAAGTAATAAGATAGTGTATATTCTTTAGTCTTCAACGTAAACGGAGTCTAAATTAACTTTTGATGGCTATTTACCTTTCCCTCCTACAAGTGAGGAATCTTTGAAAGATTTCCTTATGCCTAGTCTAAATCAGGATTTTAAAAGGCAAAATTACCAATTACTATGATTATCGTCACTGATAGAAACCCATACAACCTACCTTGCTGGAAGTGCTCTAGAACCATCTGTAGGTTGGCTAATGACATAGCATATTGCTTTACTTGTTCCTGAGAGACAGACAGTTGCAGTGCAGTTTCATCCCTCTGCTTGGAGACCATGTTCAACTGCTCCTGCAATGACTCTACCTGCACACTGGCTTGATGACTTAAAAAGAAAAAGTCAAAGTCAAACTGTTTCTGTCTACTAACATACTTTTACAAGATCACTTCTCTTGCATCTTACTGCATTAGATTCAAATTCAAGTTAGATTTCAAACATTTTAGAGTTTTGTTTTTGTTTTGTTTTGTTTTTTGCTTTTTTGATTTTTTTGAGAGAGAGGGTCTGGCTATATAGCCCAGGCTGGCCTCAATCTCAAGGAAATCCTCCTGTCTCAGCCTCCAGAGTGCTGAGATTACAGGAGTGCACCACCACACCTGGCTAGAGTTACTTTTAACAAGATGAAAGCATCTTCCCTCTTCCCTACATTTCAATGTAAAATTTACAGTTTAACCATTTTCAGGTAGCTCTGTGAGAAGCACTAAGTACACTCACAATGTTGTGTAGTCCTTAGTATCATTCATCTCTAGAGCTAATCTTCTCACACTGAAACACCATCTCTAGTATAGAACCACTCCCTCTCACCCTGACAGCTAGTATTCAACTGTCTGCCTGTACTAGTTTCATCTTCTTTATATTCTACTGCATTCAATTTAAGTTAGATCTCGAAGAAACTCAAAAATTTCCTCTGATCTTTTTTGTTTCTTTTAATTCAATCATTTTTCCTGTGCAAGTGACTTTAAACAACTGCTGTTTTAAAGCCTAGGAATTAGGCTAACCAAGAACATTAGCAGAAGAAAAATTCACAAACTCCAATATTCACGTTTCCAGGTTAAAACTCTCGGATATAATTTATCATAAAATCTGAAGTTGTAAGGGATCTTTGCAGTCATTTTGTCAGTTTCCCGAATAATAAGGCACCCTTGCTTTTGACATTTGTAGTCATAGTGAACTCAAAACTTTCCAAAGGCTACCCCATTGATGAAATGCTCTGCTTATCTTTTACTATCATATTTCTTTCTGCTTACATCAAATACAATAAACCCTCCCACTGCCCCAAATAATAAGCCAGAGACCCCCAAGTGATTTATTTACATAGGATTTACCAAGGTTTAAGTCACTGGTTTACATCCTGGATGTACTATAATGATGACACTCAAAATACTGCAAAGGTCTCCACAGGTGCTTACTATCTAGCGAAGTTCTTACTCAAGAGCAGCCTACTAACGCTCATTGAGATCAATTCACTTTGCAGGCACTCTACCCAACAGCACTCTCTTCTAGAAAGAGATGTAAATTGAGAAGAGGACCTCATCTTTGGCCCCAAGTGTCCCAAGACTTTATCTAATCTTGTTGGCAAATCAAAGCATGATTACAGGGATACACTCACCTATGACAATACTCAAAAAGTTAATAAATAATAGGTGTTGGTATTAAGTAAGGGCTCAAAACACACACTCTGGTTCCCAGATTTGTTCTTATACAACGAAGGTTTACTGTACTATCTGTAATATATGCTGTGGGAAAATGAATAGCATCATTCCTCCATCCTGGTGAGCTCACATTTTATTGGATAGGAGGCAGTATAAAATAGGCCCTTAATTATCTGTACCCTAAAGTAAAATGTAAGTGCCCTATCAAAGACTCAAGTATTATGCAAGTTTAAAAGGAAGATATCACAACAGGGCTTGTTCATGGACATGAGGAATGCAGTACTAAATAAAGTACCCTTTGCAAGGAAAATGTAATTTGAAGGATAGTGAGACTCATGGAGAAAGTTTTAAGGACCAGGCCTACTTCTCCAGTAGAGAAAGACTATGAAAAGAAAAAGGTAGAAGAAAAATATGAAAATAGTGCCTATAAGGAGCAATGTGATAGTTTGCCTAGATGTGGAAATAAAGCTAACATGGAAAGTAGCATGGGACCAAATTATGGAACACTGATTTTTTTTTTTACAAAGGGAGTTACAAAGTCATAACTCCACTAAGGAATGTTATTCTGGAAATTATTAGGACGGGGAAATGAAAGGGACAGCAACTAGCAACTATTTTAATTAGAGAAAATAAAGGCCTGAAAATTGCAAGGAAGGATTATGATATATAATGCGACAGCCTGAGAATATTTGGCATTTATGCCAAAATAAAGCACATATATGAATTATCAATGTTTTAATTTTCATATCGAACAAATTTTCATTATGAGTCAGAAAGAATAGTAATATATCCTGCAAAGTGATGGGAAGGACTCACCCTTAGAAATACTGTCTCAACTGTAAACAAGCTCTCTGCACACAGATACCTAGTATCTCCTTGTAGTTCCCTCAGCATCATACACAGAAAATATAATAAAAAGATGTGCATGCCACTAGTATAGTTTTCCAAAATGTAATTTGGCAGTACACTCTCAAAAGTTTAAAGTACCACTTAACAGAGAAGTTCTATTGCTAAAAATTTACACTGTCCTCTACAAAAAAAAAACAAACCTCAGGATATCATGACAGCTCGCAGTGATTCTGAAAAGTTGAAACACTCTAACTGTCCAGTAATAAATGACTAGGTTAAAGAAATTATGTCAACATACCCTTATAGGCAATAACTCAGACACATGTGTAAATACTGCATTGTTTCTCTGATATGAGAAACCAGAAGTGTAAATAAGGACCAAAATGTGTAACAGATATTCGGATATAGGAAGAAAATGGTCACATGGGAAGGGAAACTAGGCAGGGGAATGGGAGAAAGGAAGGAACAGAAAAAATGAGAAAAGGAAAAATGGAAACAGAGGTTTTGTAAATAAGGAGGGGAAGAGGAGTTTTTTTTTTTTTTTTTTTTTTTTTTTGGTTTTTCTCCGGTACCAGGAACCGAACTCACGACCTTGCGCTTGCCAAACAGGCGCTTTTGCCACTGAGCTAAATCCCCAGCCCCAAAGGTAGTGAATTTCTTTTTTGTTTTGTTTTGTTTTGTTTTTCTCCGGTACCAGGAACCGAACTCACGACCTTGCGCTTGCCAAACAGGCGCTTTTGCCACTGAGCTAAATCCCCAGCCCTGGGAAGAGGAGTTTAAGGGAGGGGAGGGGAATGGGAAAAAAAGTCAAAATGTATCATGTATAGGTATAAATTCCTTATGATGAATGTGATCACTGTATCTACCTAAAATGTACCAATAAACTTAATTAGTTAAAAAATTATGTCAAATCCAAATAATGGCATGCTATCTAGCCATAATATCATATTGCAGACTTATATGTCTTAATACATGCTGATACTCATACTACTAAGTGATAGAAAAGGGTTACAAAACAGTATTAATAGTGTGATCTTATTTTTGCTTTTTAAAAGATATATAATATATATACACAAGTGTAATGCATAAAAACAATTACCTTGGATGAGTGAAGTTTTTTATGTTGTTTTAGTTTGTGTGATTTTCCTGAAGTGAAAAATGTTTTTGTAACAAAAAACTAAAGAAAAGTAAAATTCTTTGAGAGAGAGTGAAACAAAAATATAAAGCACAGAGTCTTGGTCACTCAAAAGTTCTAATAAACAGAGAGTTAATTGCTCATCGTGACTGAGGTCCTCACCCTGTTGTTTTCCTCTCCTCTCCCTTCTCATATTCCTATCTAGTTCAACCTTAGATCACTTGATAAAAAATAAACCATGGAAGTTAAGTTAGTTCTTTGGAAGTTGGACATAACTAATAATCTCATTCCTGCTGGCCTGAACCAGCAGTGGTACATGCTTGCCTGTCCCACGCCAGCCAACGGGACAGTCACGCACGTGCCACCAGGGGTTCAGGTTCAGAACTACCCAGCAGTGAGCCATGTGAATTTTTTTTGTTTTGTTTTATTTTTTGTTTTTTTGGTTTTTCTCCAGTACCGGGAACCGAACTCACAACCTTGCGCTTGCCAGGCAGGCGCTTTGCTGCTGAGCTAAATCCCCAGCCCCGAGCCATGTGAATTACAGCCCCATTGTGAATATGTTAAATGAGCTAGAACTGCAGGCTATTCTCCTAAAAGGACAAATGGCAATTATCTACGGTGGTGCTGAAGAGGCAGGCTGTGAAAGCTAGATCTGCTTAAGAGTCACAGGATCAAATGAGAGATTCCTACACACAACGCGTGTGCCTGGGTTCACTCAGAGCTTTAAATTTCTTCAGTTTCTTCACTGTAAAATGGAGATAAAGAATACTGTGCAAATGAATATAAAAAATGCTGACTGATACTCAATGGGTACTCCATTAAACTTAATGCAAAAATGAAAAAGTTACCTTGCATTTTCCATTGCATTAGAGGATGAAACTAGCTTTTCCTCCAATACTGTGACTTTCTTTCTTAGTTTGGCCTCTCTATCTTCTGCAGCCAAAGCTTCCCGGGTATAAGAATCTTCTGATTCTAAAAGATGGTTACGCAATCTCTCTAGCTCCTGGTTTAACCGTGATTCTTTGTCACGTAAGTGTTGAACCTAGGTAGAGGACATTTCTTTATTTTTTTTCTACACAAAGCTTTCTGACCACTATGCCCCACTCCTGCTGCAAACCACTGTATTATCAAATCTTTTCCCATTATTGACATTTATTAAATGTATACCAATAGCTCATGAGATGTATTTATGCTAGGAACAAGTCTCCTGAAATAATCTCGAATACTCATCTGAAAGTGTTACTCTGTAAGACCTCACTTGCTGTGTGAGTAAAAGGGAAAACGGGATTATGCAGAAGACCTGAGTTGTATTGTTACTGCTACTATTTCCATAAATCTCACTGTTTTTTCATACAGTATGGGTGAGAACTTTTTCTTTTATCAAGAATAGGTCATGATTTTCACTTCTGAGAACAAATGAAATGCAGCCTGGGAAGTCAAATCTTACTAAAGCACATCAGAGGACAAAATAATGAACGAAGAAATGAATTTGTTTTAATTGATAGTCTTTCTGGTTATCCCACTTAAAAGTTATTAAATTTATTTCTGGCTCACTGTTCCTTCAAAGTGAGAACATACCTCATTCTGCAGGGCATTGTTTTCCATTTGTTTCTGTTTCAGGGACAACGTGACTTGGTCTCTCTCCAGCTGAAATGTAACTGTCTTCTCCTGCATTCCTTTAACTGTATTTAAAAGCTGATTTAGCTCCCCAGTCTTGCCCTGTTGGAAAGAAGTATGTTTAGCTTTGAAGTAAAATACTTTTCCTTGACAGTACAAAAAGACAGTACCTTATTTATTAAGGTAGTATTTAAAAATATCGAAAAAGAGAAGCAACTCCAAAAAAGGAAACACAAAATTAAGAAAATATACTCAAAGTACTTATCAAGAAGGGTTGCAAAAACCTTGGATACCATTCTTAGACCATAGGCTTCTCAGGAAGAAAAAAGCAACGTGAAATATTCAAATTTCCAGATAATCTCAGCCCTTGATGTTCAGGTAGTTCAGAGGTGGACATATACCTCAAATCACAGCTTAGGACTTCTCCCAAATATTCATTACACCCTGATTTATATTCATAGGTGTGCTACCCAGAGATACCGATGCTGCACACAGAGAACAGCAAGACAGGGGGCATTCACATTCCCCTCACCTTTGCTCTATAAGCAGGGAAACTCTCAGTGCAAGTACCTAGGCCATTAGAAAGAGAAGAATCCAGCAAAGCAGCAAAATTAAGACAAATCCAGACAATGAGGGCCCAAGACATGGCTTTGGTTCTAAACAGTCACTGGCTGTTTTTTCAGAATTATAAAAATAAGGGGCTGGGGATTTAGCTCAACGGCAAAAGCGCCTGCCTGGCAAGCGCAAGGTCGTGAGTTCGGTTCCCGGTACCGGAGAAAAACCAAAAAAAA